TGATTCTGATGATGAAAAAATGTTGCGGCTTTTGGCCATCGAAACTTATTTCAAGATGCTAAGCGCCCTAAGCTTTTTGTGGGTGGGAGGCAGATTTCCAACCTGTGGATTCTGAAAATCAACCTGAATTTCGGGATGCATTAGTTGACGCCAAAAATAGTCACTACAAGAAATTGTCAAAATGCCAACGGAAATTACCAACAAAAATTTTTCCATTAGGGATTGTCAATGGATTGCCGACGAATTAGCAATGCATTATATATACAATTTTTCTAAACATATTACCAACAGAATACTAACAAGATATAGCAACGGAAAATTACATCTTTGTATTTTGTTGGCAAATAGTGATGGAAATATTCCGTTAGTAAACACAAACAAAATACCAATAGAATAGCAACAAAGTCTTTCAAAATTGTATTAGCAACATATTAATCCGTTGGTAAATAGCAACGGATTTTTTTAGTTGGCAAACAGCAACGGAATAGCAACGGACATCATCAATATTATATTAGTAACGGATATTTTTCCGTTGGTAAATAGCAACGGATTATTTCCGTTGGCAAATAGTAATAGAATAGTAACAAACTCTTTCAAAATTGTATTAGCAACAGATTTTTCTGTTGGAAAATAACAATAGAATTTTTTTTATTCGTAAACAGCAACGAACATTTTCAATATTGTATTCCAACAGATTATTCTATTAGTAAATAGCAACAAATTTTTTTCCGTTGGTAAATACCAACGGAATAGCAACAAGCTCTATAAAAATTGTATTAACAAAGGATAATTTTGTTGGCAAATAGCAACGGAATTTTTTCATTGGCAAATACCAACGGAATGGCAACAATCTCTTTAAAAATTGTATTAGCAACGGATTATTCCGTTGGTAAATAGCAACAGAATTTTTCCGTTGGCAAATAGCAACGAAATAGCAACAAGCTCTTCCAAAATTGTATTAGCAACAAATTATTCTGTTGGTAAATAAAAATAGAATTTTTCCGTTGGCAAATAGCAACGGAATAGCAACAAACTCTTCTAAAATTGTATTAGCAACGGATTATTCCGTTGGTAAATAGTAACGGATTTTTTCCGTTGGCAAATAGCAACGGAATAGCAACAAACTCTTCTAAAATTGTGTTAGCAACAGATTATTTTTGTTTGGTAAATAGCAATATTTTTTCGTTGACAAATAGCAACAAACACTTTTAATATTGTATTAGCAAATGATTTCTATATTTATTTTTTGACATAAACAAAATAATAATTTTACTTATATTTGTTAAAAATAATACTCAACCATTATTTTCAAAATTCATTGTCGTATAATGACATTATTATTATTATTATAACACTTAGAAAAATAAAATTCTTTATATATGTATGTATATATATAATGAGAAATATTTAATATACCTTAAAATTATTTAGTTATGTAATTAGTTTAAAAATATTTAAACAAATTCAAAATAAATATTGTGTTGTCTTAACAACAGATAATTTCATTGGTAAATAGCAAAGAATTTATTCTGTTGGTAAATATCAAAGGATTTATACTAACTTATAATACTTTAATGTACATATGTAACATAACCTGCAATTTATTTTCATTTCATCTAACAAGGTGATTTTACTTTTAACTATCAAATCTACAATAGGGTATGATTTTTCCTCAAAATTCTACTATTCATCAAAATTTATATTTTTCTTCTTAATTTATTAGTATAAATAAAAATAAAATCATTCACTACTACATTTATAGTTCAACGTAAATGGAAATTTATAATTTATTAAATTATACAACTGCTTAAATTTTGATTTGGATACTTTATACAAAAATAAATTTCTTTTACTTAACTAAACAATATAAGTATTATAATTGTACTTATTATTTATATAGATATTTAAATATATGATAAAATTTTACCAAAATATTTCTTTTAATTTCAGAAAAAAAAATCATAATGACACTTATTTTGAAAGGAATATAACATAACTTATTATCAATTATTGCACCGTACGAGTTGCGCTTGCGTGTAAGTGTGTGTGTGTGTATATATATAAATATATATATATATCACACACACAAAAGAAAATTTATTGTGTAGTCCAAATTTAAGTTTCAAATTTAAAAGCTAAATAAGTAATTATTCATAACTTACGGATCAATATTAACTTGAATGTAAATGAAATAGTTTATTATTTATAATTTAATAAACCACTCAACTACTTAAATTTTTTGATTTGGATAGTTTATACAAAATTAAATTTATTTTAATTAACTAAACAATATAAGTTTTATAATTATACTTATTATATATATACATATATATATATATTTAAATATATGATAAAATTTTACCAAAAAAATTTCTTTTCTGGAATCACATTGTAGTTAAATAGAATTTATAAAACTAAACAAATTTAAAATGAAACTTGTTTGAAAAAAATATAATATAATTTATTATCAATTAGTGCACCGTACGAGTTGTGTACTAATTTAAATAGACATATTTTATATAATTTTGCACAATTTAAATTTCATATAATATTTATAATAAATTAATATACGTAAATTGTATTACATACTAATTCTATATTTTAAATTTATAAATATTATTTAATGAGTCTTTTTAATTTATAAATTTTAATACATATTTCTTACCCGTGCGTCGCATGAGATTCGTACTAGTTCATTTCAAAATGTCATAAATTTATAGATACTTATATATATATTCACTATTTTTATAATTAGACATATTAATAAAAACACTAAATATAATTGAACGGTTGGAGGATAAATAATATAGAAATTTTTATGAATTTAAAAACAAAATGTGATTTATATTCTACAATTCTTATATTTATCAACTATTACATACGAGTTGAATCATGTCTCATACATTCATATAAAAGAATTGTAGAATCATGCCGCATACATTCATATAGCCTAGTGGTGGTGTTACCTCTTTGACATGCAAGAGGTCTTGAGTTCAAACCCTAGTGTTGTGAGAATTTAGAGAGTTTGTAAGGATTATATTGGTGGATGGTCATGGGCTCTCATTGTGAGCCATGTGGTTCAAGGTGGGTCAGGTGGTTGCAGCCTTCAAGTTGGATCAACAATTTTTTGTTGCTAAAAAACCGTTGGTATTTTGTTGGAAAAAATTCGTTGGCAATCTGTTGGGAAAATATCCGTTTGTAATCTGTTGGGAAGAAATTCCGTTGGTAATCCGTTGGGAAAAAATTTCGTTGGTAATCTGTTGGGAAAAAATTCCGTTGGGAAAAATTTCCGTTGGTAATCCGTTTGGAGAATTTCGTTGGCAATCCGTTGGGAAAATTTTGTTGGTAATCTGTTGGGAAAAATCTGTTGGTAATCCGTTGGTATATCCATAATTAATATGTTGGCTTTCTGTTAGTAATTTACCAACGAAATGATTTCGCAACTACGTTTTCTGTTGGCAATTCCTTGACAATCTCATGGAGTGATTCTGTTGCAAATTCGTTGGTAATCCGTTGAGAAATTTACCAACGGATTGCATATTTCGTTGGCAATAATTACCAACAAGCCATATAGCAACACAGAAATCCGTTAGTAATCCGTTGGCATTCTGTTGGGAAATTTGTTTACTAATGGATTATTCCGTTGGTAAAACTCATATTTCTTGTAGTGAATGTCACAGATTAATCCAACTGAAATTGGCAGTCTGTGAACTTTTTCTTCTAAAAGAATCCTTGAGACATTTTGACATTTTCCTCCCTCGTGCCTGAATGATTTTCTTATCAATCAATCTATTTAGTAATTGAATTTTGTTTTTTAACGTGAGTTTATTTTGATATGCTTGTAATCTTAGTTACACTAAGATAGTTTTACGTATCTGAAAAGTTGTGTTTCAACAGGTCGAGATGTTATTCTTACCCCTACCATACTTCAATGTTGCCGACTCCCACACACATACAATACGACTCGATTTTCGGCAGGTCGTCGACCTTCAGTGGCTATCTAGGATCTCTTGAATCCCAAGGGGCTTCTGGAGCTGATATAAAGAAGGTAAAGTGATGGGTCCCTCAAAATTTAAGTTTATATGTGGTTTTCTGGGATTATTTGTAATTTTAGAGCTTCTTGATAAAGGAATGTTAATCGAGAAAAATACTTCAGTTTTAATATGTTGGGCTTTTGGACATTTACACCTTATCCTCCAAGTATCTAGGTAAAATGAAATTCTTCTCATCTGGCAGCACACATATTCTAATGAGCACTAACCAGTACAAAGTTCAAACTTTGTAGCAGATATTACAATACAAAGGCCACGCGGCGGGATAGATTGGCGATGGAGAGGCGAAGTTCATCTTTCACGTGATAGCGACGGCGTGACGGCAACAAAGCGGATTTCGCAGGGGTAGTGAGGGGCTGGTGTGAGCTATGTTTTATGTTTCTTTCCCGTTTGTTTTGGGTTGCATAGCGATGAAATTTGTTTCTTGGTGGCTTTCTTCTTTTGTTAAATAAGATTTGTTTTTGTATTAATAGTACAAGCAAATTTGATATTTGTAGGTGGAATTGACCGAAAGCAGATATTCATGGGTTCACCTGAGAAAAGAACTCAGTCAATGGTACATAAAAAATTTCTTAAATACAAAGTTTGGCTTTCTTCCCATATATTTTAGAAGCAGTTACCAGACCATTCTAACGAGATCTTGAGTTGTTTACCGTTTCCAGTGTACATCAATCCAATATCCCGGCCTTTTGAATCTCGTTGTGAATTTGTCAAAGGAGTTTCAAATGCGTGACCTGCGACCATGTATTATATTTCATATGGTGGTCCACAGGAACTATTGCAGGCTGATTATTTGTCAAATTTGTGTTATGAATCACATGATTCGGTATGTCTTGTTTAAACACGTGCTAAACCATATTTCTGTAACATATTACAGAGGATTTTATTCTTTAGTCTTTAACGTGGACTGTCCGTTAAGAATTAGTGTAATGGGTTTCCTTTACTCAGGTTAAAATTCTCGCTTATGCTTCCGATACTACAATCTTACTGGAGCAAATTAACAATATCGAGAGTCTTATGAAAAAGTACAAGTATCGGGACCACCATCATGGACAGTTATTGAGCAATTGTGCTGATCAGAAAGGCAAATCACCTTTGCATGGTGAGGATGATCTATATATTTTATTTTATGTTACCTTATCAAACAACTTATCTATCTATGTGAATATCTGATAGTGTTTTGTTCTGTAATCATATGTGTAATCATATGTGAAGTTGAATGAAATTGTTAATTCGATGGGTGCTAAAGTGCGCAATTAGAATTCAGTTTCCCACAAGCCGTACTGTATTGAGCTAATATATGAGTCAGGGTTTTAACAATTGTCCGGTTGAAAAGAAATAGAAAGCTTCATTAGACAGCTTTTGTTATATGCAAATCAGTATTTTCTGTTTAACAATTTGGATTTCATTGAAGTGGTTAAAAAGATAGACTTCCTTTGGTGGATGAACGCAAACAAGAGAGAAGAATATACGCCTTTACTATTGATGTTTGCTTATATAAGTTTAATGATGTGTTTTTTTACATGTTTGTCTTATTGGTTGCATGTTGGCTTGAACCTTTACTGCTGGCAGGAGATATTTTCAAGAAACTTCAAATATGGAAGCTCATAGTTTCAATTTTTGGTTTTTCGTCTACACCATAATTGGTTTTTGGTGCCTTCTTCTACTACTTTCGTGTGTTTGAGCGCAAAATAAATTATAATAAACACAATACAAGTTCTTGTTCTAGCCCAATTTCCTTAATGACATTTCTCATATGAAGTTCATATTCTAGATTATGTGCTATTGTTGGAGAAAGTAACGTGTATTTCTAGAAGTGAAGTGTCAGATATGGACAGATGGTGTAATATGTAGTGTGTTTCTAAACTTTAGTTTCAATTACGTTTTTTAAGTCATAACCAATTAAAGCTAGATAATGGCGTACTTAGATAGTTTATT